ATGAAAAAACGACTCCAAGCTAATCGAAAGCTAATAGAAGCAGCAAAACAGCAGTGTCGCGCAAAACAGCAATGTCCTGCCACAATAGCGTACAGATAGCTTGTTTTGTATTTTGGCTTCTTGCTTTCATACAAGGTAAGTTATAATTAGTTTTCTTTAGCACTTTAATATTGAAAAGTAAACGACACTGTTTCATGTCATCTTCGACGCACGAGGGAGCTCGATACAAGAACTTTCTTGAAGATATTATGCTGATCGAATTGAGAAAGAGCATTGTCACCAATATCACGATTTTTGGACTGAACGTAAACTGATTGCCATTGATGTTGGACTTCTTGTTAAATTACAACCCGTATAAAACCGTTTTAACTGCTGTTTTGGTTGCATGTGTTTCATTCCTTATGCAAACACAATTTTTTTAGCGCTAGTGATGCTTTGCATTGCCCGCATAGTTATTCTCAAAAGCGTGAGGAGCATTTCATTCCGGTCTGATCATTTCCCATATCGAATCTTCATCCGTTTGATATGGTGCTAAAATAAAGCTTTCGGGAAAAGCTTTTCATTTCGTCTCGTCAAGAATGGCGGAATAAAAGGGATTTGTTCGACGAATCGCAAACTGTTGTTGACAACGGATGAGAAGATATGCTCGCTCACGTCATTATTGCTTTGTTTTCATTTCTCAAGTATACTGGTGATCTTGGTTTAAAAACCGAGAAGCGTTAAAGTGGATTCGGATTTACTCGCTTGGAGATAGAGGGGAATCCAGTCTGAGTCATAACGGCTGTCTCTAGGACTACGGAAATTACATGCAGTCTCTGGGTCTCTCGTCAACCGTGTAACGATTTGTAAGCGCCAAATAGGAAAAGGAAGTAAATTTTTCAGTCATTGTCATGAGATTTGTTTGTGGAGTGTAAGCGAAGCTCTCCCACAGCGACCTACGACGATCCATGACTGAGTCTGTTATACATGCGTTGTGGGACCAAATATTTAGAAATTATGTTTTTAGGAAAGCTTAGTTTTGGCAAGCTTAGGTTAACTCACATATGTGGAACACTTAGTTCTTGAACACCTCTTCCCTTTGAATTCGAAACATTTCATTCTAGAACTTCGTGT